TTAGGCCTGCTCCCCACGGGGAACGGGCCTAAGCTGACAGTCAGACATCCCCTGATGGCTCCTAGACTGTGAGAGCGTGCAGGCCGGCCTGAGGGGATTTCTCCTTCCCCTGCCCCTGCCGAGTTCATGAATTTTATGCACCGGGCCTCTAGTAGAGAATAAACCAGGGGTAAGCAGGCCCTCACAGAAGCAGCAGTTCAGTTTCAAATGATCTCAATCTATAAAATTGAAGTGATTTTGGATTGCTAATGCCATCAGGAGCCCGAAAAAAGGAAATGTAATCCTCCCTGAAGGAAGACATTGTTATCAGAAAACTCAAAGTACTTCTATAGACAATTCTGAAAATACATGTCTGATAAACAAAAATTAGCATGCATTTATGAAAATAAAGCCACAAAAACCAGCAAGAGATAACAGAAACAGGCCCAGAGGTTCAGACTTCTAACTTTTTAGAGAGAGTTTAACTGAAATTAAGAACCTAATGGCGTTAAGAACCAACTATAAAATATGTAAAAAAATTCTGGTGAGAGAAAATACTGAAAAGCCAGAGAAGTCATAGACTATGAGAAGTTACTATGCAATAAAACTGGAGTCCCAGAAATAGAGGAGAGAGCAAAAGTAGCAGAAATATTTGAAGATATAATGGTTTAGAACTTTATAAAATTAATGAAGAATAACTCAAACACAAATTCAGACAGTTCTATGAACCCAAGAGAAGTAGAAATAACATTACATACACACAATATAGCAAAAGTACTAAAATCCAAAGACAAAGAAAAATATTTTAGAAAGCTGGAAGTCAGACTGCATTCAAGGGAGAAACAGAATGAAAATTAACTTCAATAACAACAAAAGGCAAAGCATAATTTTTTTAAGTGCTAAAAGAACTCTAAATTGAAATTCTATACCCAGCAAAAGTCTTCAAGAAAGAAAAGTAATATAAATACATCTTCAGATGCATAAAACTTAAGAAAATTCATCATTAGCGTACCCAGTGTAAAGGAAATGCAAAAGGTTCTTTAGATGTAAGAAAAATTGTCTTGGATAAAGACAAAGATGATGCTGAAAAGATATAGAACAAAAATCTATAATAATAAAAGTGTAATGTGCTAATTAGACTGGACAGCCGAACGACCTTCAGGACATCCTTCCAGATGAAGCCAGGGCTGCAAGGGCTGAGGCAAGCCGCTGCAGCTGTGAGGGCTGAGGCAAGCCACCTCAGATGCAAGGGCTACGCCCCTTGCACAATTTTGCGCATTGGGCCTCTAGTAGTAAATATGAACATGGTTCAGACAATAAAAATAATATGCTATGGGTTTAATATATATAAAAAAAAGTACATTTTAACAATGGTATACATGTCAAAAGAGAGGTTAAAGGTGTTAAAGAATTTCAAGCTTCTAGTACTGGCTGAGAAGAGCGTGGAAATAACAAATAGTTACTTTGATAAACAGACTTTCATAAAGCAAGACTACATGTACAAAAGGATAATTACTAAAAGAATATAAGAAGAGTGTAGAGCTTTCCAGAGCTGAAAAAAATGGTACATTAAATATTACTCTATCATTTCAAAGGAAAGTTCTAACAAATAGAAATTTAGAATAAGCAGGACATTATTTAAAGCCAACTATCAACAAATTCATCAAGCACATTAACTAAAATATAAAAACTGACAAACAAAACAAAAAAGCAAAACCCAATTAAGTGCTGTTTCTAGGAGACATGTTTGAAATAAATATAAAGGTTTACTGTGAAAGAATTGGAAAAAAGATAAACATGAAAACACTAGACAAAAGACAAATAGAACAGCTAGCTATGTTAATATTAAAATAAACTTAAGTTAAATATTACTAGAATAAGGGTATCTTATAATAAAAAGATGTAGAACTCTGAAATATATAGATGTAAGAATATAATTTCAATAAAAGAAAGCAAAAATTGACAGAATAAAACAGGATAACAAGCGATAGGCAGAACACCCACTCCCCCTAAAGATGTCCAAGGCCTAGCCCCTGAAACTTGTGCATATGTTACATTGCATGGCAAAAGGGATTTTGCAGATGTAAATAACATTATGGAATTTTAAATTCTTCTTTTAGTATAAAACAAATCCCTTAATTTTTCAAGTGTTTTAGAAAATAATTTTATATTTAAGTATTAAAAATAAACACAAAATTTAACCAGTTTACATTTTTTAACCCACAACGCAAGCATCCACTCTGTGCACAGCAGCATTTTAGGGGCAATAAAAGGGATTCTTAACCTTAGAAACATGACTTCACTTTCTGAAGTTGGATCATCACCTTTTCCAGATTTTTTAAATAGGGAGAATACCTGCCCTAGCCGGTTTGGTTCAGTATATAAGAGTGTGTAGGTCTATGCCCTAACCGGTTTGGCTCACTGGATAGAGCGTCAGCCAGCGGACTCAAGGGTCCCAGGTTCGATTCCTGTCAAGGGCATGTACCTTGGTTTCGGGCACATCCCCATTGGGGGGTGTGCAGGAGGCAGCTGATCGATGTTTCTCTCTCTTCGATGTTTCTAACTCTCTATCCCTCTCCCTTCCTCTCTGTAAAAAATCAATAAAATATATTTAAAAAATAAAAATAAAAAAAGAGTATGTAGGTCTATGTACTGAAGGGTCCCGGGTTCGATTCTGGGCAAGGGCTTGTGCCCGGGTTGTGGGCTCGATCTCCTGTAGAGGGAGTGCTGATCAATGATTCTCTCTTATCAATGTTTCTCTCTCTCCTCCCTTCCTTTCTGAAATCAATAAAAAATATATTTTAAAAAAAGAATTGCATTTATTTTAAAAAAACAAAACGGGGATTACTCGAGATCAGCGATTTTCAACCAGTGTGCCACAGATTTTTTTAAATATGCAATACCTGACTATTTAGTCATGGATATTGATGCCTCATCATTGATTGTCAAATAAAAAAATGACAGCAGCCAACACAACAATAGTTAATAGGTGTGAATGAATAAAAATTATATATTTATGGTTTTTTGTCAGATTGGCAAAAAATAAATTTTATTTTGTTCGCTGCATAATTTTAATAATTAGTTTATATGTGTCATGAGATGAGAAAGGTTGAAAATCACTGTCCTAGATTATCCAGTGGGCTCAATCTAATGAGTGTTTAAAGCAGAGGACTGTCTCTGACTGTAAGCTACTGCTTACCTGAGTCAAAAGGGAAGGTCAGAAAGATTCAAAGCAGGAAAAAATGATTTGACCTGTTGTTCTAGGCTAGGGGATGAAGTGATACAGAGGGCCACGTGCCAGGGAAAATGAGTGACCCCTTGGAACTTAGAATGACCCCTGGTCAACAGCCAAATATAAAACATGGATCTCAGCCCTACAGCCACATAAAACTGAATTCCAACTACCTGAATAAGCCTAGCAGTACATTCCCCCCTAGATCCTCCAAATAAGGGACTCAGCGGGCTCACAACTTGATTTTGGCTTTGTGAAACTCTAGGCATTTTAACCTATTGAACCTGTTGGACTTCTGGCCTACAGAACTCTGAGGTAATATAGTTGATACTAGAGGCCCGGTGCATGAAATTCATGCACAGGGGGTGGGGGAGGCATCAGCCCAGCCTGTACCCTCTCGCAATCTGGGACTGCTGGCTCCTAACCGCTCGCCTGCCTGCCTGATCACCCTAACGACTCTGCCTGCCTGCCTGATCACCCCTAACCACTCTACCTTCCTGCCTCATTGCCCCTAACCACTCTACCTGTTTGCCTCATTGCCCCTACCTGCTCTCCCCTGCCTGCCTCATCGACCCTAACCGCCTTTGCCTCGGCCCCCGCCATCGTGGCTTTGTCCGGCAGATGTCAGTCTAATTAGCATATTACCCTTTTATTAGTGTGGATGTTCATGCCAATTTGTTAGGGCAGCAATAGAAAACTGATACGAAAAAGAAAAATCCACAAAAATAGAGGAAATTTTAATAGGCTTCCTCAGTATTTGATAGAACATAAATTAAAACATAAGTCATTAAGAATAAGATTTGAAGAACACAAAAAATTTGACCGGATTTTATAAACTATTGCAACTAACGCCTATAGAATATATATTTCTTAAAAGCATACTTGGAATACTTACATAAGCTAACTGGGCATAGAACAAGTATCCATCAACTTCAACAGATTAAAATCATACAAAATATTTTCTGTAAATATAATTCTATGAAGTTAGAAATCAATAACCCCAAAATAGGCTAGAATTTGCCACATGGATCAAAGAAATTATAACAGAAATCCAAAAATATTTTTAACTAAATAATAATGAAAAATATTATGTATCAAAACTTTTGAAGTGAAAACTGTTTAAAAATGTTCCATGCATACTCATGAAGTAGATTGTAAGTGATCTTCCAACAGAAAAAGAGTAAATTCTACACTATTAGATCTTAAGAACAACTTACTATGCATTAAAGAATGTGATATTCTTGCCCTAACTGGTTTGGCTCAGTGGATAGAGCGTCGGCCTGTGGACTGTGGTGTCCCAGGTTCGATTCCGGCCAAGGGCATGTACCTTGGTTGTGGGCACATCCCCAGTAGGGAGTGTGCAGGAGGCAGCTGATTGATGTTTCTCTCTCATCGATGTTTCTAACTCTCTATCCCTCTCCCTTCCTCTCTGTAAAAAAATCAATAAAATATATTTAAAACAAAAAGAATGTGGTATTCTTAATCATAATCTTTAGTCCTTAATAGATATTAAATTTTAAAGAAAGAAGTAAAATTAGTACATCAAAAATGGGTGAAATAACTTAAAGGTTTTATTGTTGGAGATAGTTAGGATATCAAGCATACTTGCTCTTGGATCTATGAGAGATACTGGTTCATTGAAACCATTCTGAAGCTCATCTTCCGATTAATTCTCACAAAATAGCCAAAACTATTAAAAAATTAACTGTTCTGTAGATTGATATATTAAGGAGGCTGCTACATTTTACAAATGTTATTATTTATTCAATAAAATAAAAGCCATACTTACAACAAGAAGTAGTCTGAACTGGTGCAAGTTGTGGAAAGGTCATAAACATAGAAACCCCTGGTAGATCGCTCTGCTTGTCAGGTTCAGTAGTTTGGTCAGCCCAAACAACCACTTTTTTCCTCTCCACCAAATGTTCAATCTCTTTGAAGTCAGACTCAAAGGCAGCATTTGACAGGCCAGCTTCTTTTAATGAACAGTACTGTTTTTTCAGGGTTGGAAGTAAAGCATTCAATACTCTATATACGAAAGGTGACAAAGAAGGAGAGATAAATACTAAATTTTAAATACACTTTATAGTACTATTTAACATCCAAAGTATTAGCAGGTCATTTAAATGATTCCCTGTATATATGTTCTTTTTAGAATATTTCAGTCAACTACCTCAACATATTCTTAATACTTTAAGTACAGAGTAGAAGGAATCTTGGATCTGAATTACAAGCACCGGGCTGTACTCTTAGTCTTCATTTGCTTCCATATGATCTTGGATAAGGCACAACTGTGGGTTTTCCTTTATTACTTGGGGATCAATTGGACAGCCATTACTTATAATAGTTTGAGGAAATAGTTTTGAGAACCAAATGAATTAAATACATATAAATGCTTTTTGCAAAGCACTATGTGATTCACAAACCAAAGATATTGTAAGTTATTAAACATCCTGGGATTAAAATGAAAAATTAATATATTCTGTCAAATGATGAGACTCATTTTAGGTATATAACATTTAAAAAGGAAAACAAAAAAACAGAGCTCAATTTTCCTTTCAGTTAGCTCTTCATGAGTTAAGGCAATGGCTTCCAAAGCTATTCCAAGGGGATTCAAGGAAATAAGTTGTGGACAAGAATGGTGGGTACGGGGAAATTGATGGGACACAACAGATTCCTGGCTCTGATTCAAAGTCTTCCCTATTGTTGTTAATCAGAGCAGCACTGAATGCATCTTTTTATGTATTAGACGTCCACGTAAGTGCTGACTGAATAAATGCCACAGCTAAATAGTTATAAATTTATACACTCAATCAATGGTTCCTAACTTTTAAATCAAGGAAGATGTCATCAAAAAACATGAGTAATCTTGAAATGATTCAGTCCTGGTATTGACGTATAACATCCAGGAGAATAAAACCGTTGGAAGTATAAATAGGTCAGTGGGAAAAGAATAGGCATTAATTTTAACACAAGGAAGTAATTGCTTTATTACTTAGGAGCCTTAAATATTTAGATAGTAGTACAAATAAATAGTCTGTGATACTTTTCATTTTGGTGAGGATGGGGAGTACTTCATTTAAGTGAATTGGTAACTATGGGAAAGTCAATAAAAACATTTATTGAATACCTATACCAATTAGGCACAGTGCAGATAAGTTACCTGTTATTCTTAGAAAGGCTTGCTAGCAAGGGTGGCCTGTAGCTGGCACCTTGAACATTGGATTTTGACAGGGTTCTCATCATTTTCAGAATTGATAAGAGTGTCTCACTGTGCTTAAACAGTTTGTACAAACAATGTGGCTCATGCTGAACAATTGCTTTCCTTCTGGGAAGTCTGTTTTTGGAACATACTAAGTACAGGGTGCCCAGAGATGGTCATAGGGAGCCACAACCTATGATACATATATGATACATAAGCCCAGCGCGCAAAATCGCGTGGCCCCGCCCACCCGCACGAGCCTCTCCATGCTCGCAGCCCCGCCCACCTGCGCCAGTCTTTGGTCATTATGGCCTTAGGGCCACAGGCCTTTTATAATATAGATATCTATGTACACATTCATTTATTATTATTTTTATTTGATGCAGTGGGTCCTCGGGTTACGTCGGAGATCTATTTCTACAGCGTGACGTAATGCAATTTTTGCTATAAGTTGGAACACACCTACATAAGCACCTACGTCACTCACATACACAGCAGTAATGAAGTGAAACAGTAAAAAAAATTTTAAAGAAAGATAACAATTCCTGACCTTTACTTGTGGTAATAATAAAAAACATAAAGCACATATGTCCATACGTCGAAATGATGGAACCTTTTTTTTTATAAATAAATGGGAGATGGCGGCGTAACCACGAAATGATGTACGTTGAGTCCGACGTAACCCGAGGACTATCTGTATATGTATATATTGTGAAATGATCACCACAATAAGTCTAGTTAACATTCATCACCTCAAGTAGTTACCGAATTTATTTTTTCCTTGGGATGAGAACTTTTAAGATCTCTTTCAGTAACTTTCAAATATGCAATACAGTAATATTAACTAAAGTCATCACGCTGTATATTACATTATTTCATACCTAGAAGTTTGTACTTTTTGACTCACTTCACATCCTCAGCCCATGCCCCTACCTTCAGCCTCTGGCAACCATCAATCTGTACTCTTTATCAATGAGCTTGAATTTTGTTTTGTTTTTCTAAGATTCTACATATGAGACCATATGGTGTTTGTCTCTTCCTGTCTGAGTTATTACACTTAGAAAACTAAGGCTTATGGGGAAGAGTCAATAGGGAAGAAAGGGAATATCTGTAATACTTTCAACAATAAAGATAAATTAAAAAAATAATCTAGGCAAGGTTATATTGCTAATGTAAGCTAGAATTCAAGACCAATTCCAAAACTCTAACTTTTTCTACTATAACATTCTGCCTGTTTGTAATGCTTTGGTCACTTAACTTTTAAATATGTAAGAATTAGAAATCTTTTTGTACATTTTGAGGCAAAAGTTTATGTTAAGTGTACTAATCTCTTTGTCTTATATAGCAAATACAGTATGGTTAATATAAATTAATGTGTTGCCCTGGCTGCGTGGCTTAATATATCAAAAAGTTGCAGGTTTGATTCTGGGTCAGGGCACATACCTAGGTTATGGGGTGAAACCTGGTTGGGGCACGTGCGGGAAGCAACCCATTGATGTTTCTGTTTTTCTCTCTCTCTCCTTCCTCTAAAACGAGCCTTTCACAGGGGTTGCCTAAGACCATCCTGCATATCAGATATTTACATTACGATTCATAACAGCAGCAACATTACAGTTATGAAGCAGCAACGAAAATAATTTTATGGTTGGGTCACAACATGAGGAACTGTATTTAAAGGGCCGGAAGGTTGAGAACTACTGCAACAAAAACAAAAACATATCGTCTAGTGAGGATTAAAACATAGTAATAAATAAATTAATTAATGCTTCTTTTATAACTAATTCTTGGAGGTAGATTAAGTGTTGGTTAGTAAGTGTTTAATGTTTGCTTAAAGTCAGATATACACAGCATGGGGAGATTAGGTTGAGCTTGTATTCACAGAAGAACATCTCCATAAAGTTTTTCCTTTCTCTTTTCTTCTTTTTAAAAATAACTATCTTACTATGATTTCTCTTAAATCATAAGTATAAAAAGTTAATTTCCAGTTATTTGAGAAAACAACTAGAACTCCAGCAAGAAGCCCTAAGAGAAGTTACTTTCTCATTTTTCTAGAGCATGAAAGTGACACCTAACCAACATATCCAAAGTAAAAAAAATAAAGATTGTTATACTTTTTTACTATAATGTTATTATAGACTCAAATGATGTTACTAGTGAGCTAGTAGAAAGAGCATGTCAGATATACTGTACCATCACATAACTGGATACTTGATGTAAAATATATACACTTTTAGTAACTTCATTTTAATGATAGCACAATATTATTCTAGAGTTAAAAATGCTTAAAAACTGCCTACTTAAATATTTAGTTAGCATTAATAGTGAGTGCCTCTAAATGGGAAATGGATAGCTAGTAGACAGGTAGAGACAGATTCCTTTTCACAATATAGGTATCCTTTTCAATAGCACATGGCATATGTTACATAAAATAATTAATTAAAAATGCTTTCAAAACTATAAAAAATTAGTTGGAGAAGAATCACATTTTTTATACTTTCTCAGTACTTCCTAACTGTGTCTGCTTTCTGATGCTGACAGACACTTAAAAATAATGTATCCTGTACCAGATAAAACTCAGTTTTCTAGCTTGGAAAAGTGAACTTCTATGTTTCAGGTTCCTTAGGTCTATAGAATAGGTCAATAGATATACTCACGCCTCAGTCTGCCTATGTTGAATGTTCCTGAAGACAAGCTAGATCCATCACATGT